TGTGGGACTGTTGGCACCCTCCCCTGGGACAGAGCGACTGTCTGCACAAGGAGGACGCTGGGGTCACCTGTACAGGTGAGTGGGAGCAGCTGGAGCTCCCAACGTGTTCAGGGCTGCTCTCAGTACAGGAATACAGATGTAAATAATACTGAAGAATCCAACACAAATTCTGCCTATTAGAAATACAATTAGTATGAGCCCTTATGGCTATTTAATACTCTCTGAATCTCGACCCATCCCTTCTCCTTTTTTTTTCAGGTTGGGGATCTCAAAGTCATCCAGTGACAACAGGTAATGCAGTTGACAGAAGGGAATAAGAGACATTTCGGTTTGTCTAAATGATGCTGCTGGCAAACTGCATGGTTTTCAGAAGTACTGCTCTCTATAAACTATAGCCTCTCTGTTTCATTTTTGTCAAGAAATAAAGAGAATTATTGTGAATCTCCTCATCAAAAAACATTTTATCTTCTATTATAGCTCTTCCTACTTCCACCAGCACTTCTTCTGTGGAAACAGGTAAATTCTCCAGTTCCTAATCTTTGTCTAGATGAGATCACTACTGAGACTGAAGATTAAGACACAGAAGATCATTTTCTGATCTGTGTCCCTCTCCTTCAGGCAGCACCAGGACAACACCCCAGACACAGCAGCTGGGAGGCCTCTCCATCTCACTCCCGGTCCTCCTGCCACTGGGGGCTCTGCTTTTTGTGGTGTTGGCCCTGTTAGTGTGGCAGCTGATCCATAACAGGAAGCTGAGGAAAGGTAGGGAGGGAACTAGTGACCTCTGGTGGTCACTACTATCACTCACATGAAACTGATATGTGGATTTTACTCTAAGATGGAGATCTGTAGAAATTTGCAGATGTGTATAATTATAATATTTATGCGCACAGATGCCCAAGAAAAGGTTTAGCACCAAATTAAATACCTTATATTCCCCTCACTGCATGTTAACCCTGAGTGTTTGTTTCCTAACACAGCCCTATCTAAGGGAGCACACACCCCCTATCATGATGCTGTTTATGAGGAAATAGAG